AGGGGTGTACCTGGCACTCATGAAAAACACCTTGCACTCTGCAGGCATTCAGCAACTTTTTCTTCAAAATTTTGTCGAAAATAAATGCCAAATCTGGTGAAAGAAAAATCAATGTTCATTGTTCAAATGTCCATGGATTTTTGGCAAAATTTTGCGAATCCGGATCCAAGGAGCTAAATATTGCTGATTCAATGTGCTGGATCCTCTTGGTGTTAGTTTTGTTATAATAAATAAATATATTTGACCATTTTAGTATTTTGCCCCAGTTCAACTCCTTTGCTCTGATGACTATTGCTGGCGGGATTAAGGATCAATTAAACCTTCAGAACAGGAATAAACAGGGACTCAAACCCAGGGATTTTCAGGTAAATTAAGGAGTTCCTGACTTTTGAATGAACAGAGCTTTAATATCGTTGCAATCATGGAGAGAGATTAACACATCACCTTACCTTAATTTTATCTTCTATATTATAATCAGTTCAAAATTATAAATTTCAATATTTAAAAACCAATTAAAATGGTGAATTTAAAATCAAAACTTGATATTATTTTTTTAATGAAGTCTCCGTGTCATTTTTATTTTTATTTTTCTACAACAATTAATTTTTTATTAAATTAAGCCAAAAATTTTACTTTTGGAAGAAATAAAGAAGATGTACATAATATGTGTATAAATGGTTATTACAACGGTCAAGTAAGTAGTAAGTAAGTAATATGATAATCTTAAGAGGTAAAAAATGTAATAATGGAAATTCTTAAACGAGATGAAATAATCTTGATGTATTCTTTAACGAAGGCCGCAGGCCTGAGTTAAAGAATGCATCAAGATTATTTCATCGAGTTTNGCATGTTTTAACATTAAAGAAAAAGGTAAGTGAGCATGTTATTTTAAAGTATAAAAAGGTAAGTCTGCATGTATTAATATAAAAGAAAAAGGTGAGTTTGTCCTGAGCATGTTGTCAGTACAAAATAATTAAGTTAAGACCAATATTGATCTATGTTGAAAAGATCAATATAAGAAGCGTGTAAGAATGAATATTCCTCAAGAAGTGTAATAATTTCCATTCTTTAATGCTTGGAGCGTGTAAGAATATACATTCTTTCACGCTCTGACCGTGTAATAATTTCCATTCTTACACGGTCTGGCGTTAAAGAATGAAATTTCTGCACCTACAGTGCAAGAACAAGCATTCTTAAACGCTAGGAAGGGAACAATATTAAAATTGTTCCTCCTGAACCGTGTAATAGTGGGAACTCTTACATGATAGGTTTACTACTATGGAACCGAGCAGATATGATATAATATTTATTGCACAATAACATGTTAACATATTAAAGTGGCAGGACTTGTACAATTCGCAGGATTGCGGTTTACAACGTAAATCTCATAATACAGTCTTTAAAACAGATTATGCATTAACAAGAAAATAATCCATGTTATTACACATGAGGGGTGTACCTGGCACTCATTTATCAAATGAATTTTATGATGTGGGGGAAAAATAAAAATTAAACATTAACAGGTTTTATATCCAGCTTATTCATATTTTTAACCCAAAAGTTCAGAAAGTAAAAACCTTAAAAAACTTTCCGCTCCGCGTGAACACTAAACGCTAACTTTTAGGAAATACATGATTTTGATGATCTGGCTGCCTCCCTACAATACTCCCCTCTTATACATTTAATTGTGTATTTTTTCTCCTGACCTTCATTTTTTTTAATTCTTACACATTCAATATTTTTTTAAATAATCATAAAATTTAGGATGAAGAATATCAACTACTGGATGAGATGTCTCTTGCTATAAGCAGAGCTGGATATAATATGCTGATCAATCCATCCAAGAAATTAAGGATGGTGGAACTCTCATTCCTTCTCAAGTTAGTATTCCATCATTTTTAAAATAAAAGTAATAATAATTCAGGGATTAAATTAATCTGCGATAGAACGAATTATTGTATAAGTAAATTAAGTAAGAATAAATTATTGTATAAGTAAATTAAGTAAGAATGAATTATTGTATAAGTAAATTAAGTAAGAATGAATTACTGGAATTAATGAAATAATAATTGAATGAATGGTTATTAGTGATGTATGAGAATTAAAGGGAGTGACCGGCAATGTATGGTAGTTGAACTAAGAATGAAGTATTTTGGAAATAAAATTTAAGAATCATTTGACACATATAAAACGTTTTAATGATTTATTTTTACTCCGTTTGAGCGCAAAATCGACGTTCAAAATCATCCATTTGGGTGCTTAAGTTTTGAGAATCGTTTTATTAAAATAATTAAATAACGACGACATAAATGTAAAAGCAAATTCTTCAGTAAACTTATTAGATGTTTAGGAACATATTTCTCAATTAAAATTTTCTCAATAAATAATTGTTGGAATCAATTATTTCTTTTTTATCATTTTATTGAATTTCATATTCTTTATGAATTTGTTCGCAGGTTTTTCAAATTCTTCTAATGTCGTCTTTCCATTAAAAATTCCAGGAAATCTACAGAAAATGTGTTTTAAACGATTAAACATTACAGAAACCAATAATTGAACAAGATTACTTAATTTCGATGATAATAATTAATTTTTATTTTCTCAACCTGTTCCAAAACAACTAATTAGTTTACTGTAGAATTTTTAATACATTTTTCGTCGTCGTTATTAAATAGTTTTTTAAAAACCGATTCTAAAAATCATCCCTCAACAATGAACAATCTATGAGGATTTTTAAGATTGAATTTGTGCTCTTACTGAACAAATATGCACCGCAAAAACGTCTCATAGGTCTCAAATGATTCCTTAAAAATTTCTCAACAATACTACATTCTCAGTTCAACTACCATAAATTGCCGGTCACTCCCTTTAAAGTTTGATTGAATGAAAAAATGGTAATGAATGAAAAATTAAAAATTATATATGAACGAAATCCTAGCCGCAGCGCTCGGCCCCCCATTGCATCCTGCGGCGCCTCAGAAGGTCTAATCTAACCTTTGGGAAGATTCCGCTTGGGAAATTGCACGTTTTGGAAGTAGCACCTTGGGAAGTCGTCTTTGGAAAAACACCAAATATACTATGCTCCAAGCCTTACATTTCTCAAATCAAATCGACTCAACTCATTTATTTCTTCAGAAAAAAACCCGATATTTATGAATTTATTTTTTCAAATCACAGTAAACACAGTGTTGGTTAAATTATAGTTAGGAACTTTCTTCCTCTGAAACAATAAACAACTTTTGATCTTGGACTGAATTAATTATTGAAATATTTGATTGAACATTAAGAAATTATTATCATCTAAAGAACTTTGAAAAAAAGAGATTTATTAAAAACTAGATTAGACTAGATTAGACTAGATTAGACTAGATTAGACTAGATTATACGAGATTAGACTAGATTAGACTACATTAGACTAGAACGAGTGTTAATTAAGTAATAAATTTATTAAACAACTTAGCAAACATATAAAGAAAAAGAAGGGGGAAAAAACTTAAAACAACTGTTTAGCAAACCTTTGGATGTTAGGTATTCTAAAGTGGGACATGGCTCAAAGTTGGTCGTGTGGCTGGGCGCTTCGCAAATTCAAAGCTAAACATTAATCTTATAAACAGAAGGCCGGGCTGATAAACCAGGAATGGTTAGGACTTGAAACTCCAATCCACTACTGGAGTCATAGGACATCCCTGAAACTTATGATTTGATTTGATCCAATACTGTTTGATTTTCAGGAGTTTTACAATGCGAAGTGCTTCATTTGACGAAGAATATTATCAGCTGATTAAAAACAAAATACTAGAACAGGCTGATAGCATGCAGGTAAATATTATTATTATATTATCATTATTATTATCCTTATTATTATCATTATTATTATCATTATTATTATCATTTGAACATGTTCATCATAACTAGCTGTTCTTGAACATGTTCATCATAACTAGCTTTTCTTGGAACTTGTAAATCATAACTAGCTGTTCTTGAACATGTTCATCATAAATAGCTGTTCTTGAACATGTTCATCATAAATAGTTTTTCTTGGAACTTGTAAATCATAACTGACTGTTCTTGAACTTGTAAATCATAACTAGCTGTTCTTGAACATGTTCATCATAACTAGCTGTTCTTGAACATGTTCATCATAACTAGCTGTTCTTGAACATGTTTAAAGATTGAGACGCATTTAGAGTCTCTATATCTAGGATATTGACTTGTCTCTTTATCTAGGATGTTGACCCGTCTTTATTACTAGGATATTGTTGACCCGTCTTTATTACTAGGATATTGTTGACCCGTGTCTGTATCTAGAATGTTGACCCGTCTTAATATCTAGAATGTTGACCCGTCCCTATATCTAGAATGTTGACCCGTCCCTATATCTAGAATGTTGACCCGTCCCTATATCTAGGATGATGTTCCGTCTCTATATCTAGGATGTTGACCTGTCTCTATATCTAGTATGTTGACCCATCCCTATATCTAGAATGTTGAGCTGTCTCTATATCTAGGATGCTGACCCGCCTGCTAATATTCTGCTTTAAATCAAACCATGATCCTGGAAAACAATTCCTAGAGGCATATTCTCAGGTAGTAATCAACCATGATTAATTGATTAATTCATATTTGATTTATTGAATTGATCCGAATGAATTTATTAATTGTTTAAGTGATGAAGCTGATTGATTAATTGCCTGGATAAATAAGAATAGATTGTTTATTTGTTTATGCAGACCGTAAAGCTGGAAATTGTACATCATGAACTCGTCATACAAAAAGGTCAATGAATATGTTTTACTTCTTGGGGTCAATCTGTAGAAATCAGTTTCTTGTTAGTTGTCATTCTGAATTTTGTGTATTACTGGTCCTTTATACAAAACAAAACACTTGTAGGGAGTATAAACAATACTTGCCGCAACTCTTTTTATTCAAAGTACTGTATGGACGTAGCTAGTACAGAGCTAAATTCATGTTTTCAAGTTCAGCTGAAACACTCTGGTATGGTAAAGACGAAATGAGCAATCTAACCTAATATATCTAGAATTAATTGATTGTTTGATTGATTAATAAATTAACCAATTAAATTATTGATTGCTTGCATTTTAAGGCACTGTACCGTGATATGGATAATATGTCTGGCCGTAGAATATTAAACTCTGCGATAATACTTGCAGCATTTAACCATCTACCTACATACTTAGCTAAGGTACTTTAACCACCTACCTACATACTTAGCTAAGGTATTTTAACCATCTACCTACATACTTAGCGAAGGTACTTTAACCACCTACCTACATATTTAGCTAAGGTACTTTAACCACCTTCCTACATATTTAGCTAAGGTACTTTAACCACCTACCTACATACTTAGCTAAGGTACTTAAACCACCTACCTACATACTTAGCTAAGGTACTTTAACCACCTACCTACATATTTTGCTAAGGTACTTTAACCACCTACCTATCTATTTAGCTAGGGTACTTTAACCAACTACACACATATTAAGCTAAGGTTCTTAAACCACCTACCTATATATTTAGCTAAGGTACTTTAACCACCTACCTATATATTTAGCCAAGGTACTTCAACCACCTACCTACCTTTTTAGCTAAGGTACTTTAAATACCTACATATTTAGTTAAGGTACTTAAACTACCCACCTATTTTGCTAAGGTACTTTAACTACCTACCTATTTAGCGAAGGTACTTTAACTACCTACCTATTTAGCTACTTGGTACTTTAACTACCTACCTATTTAAATAAGGTACTTTTACCACCTTCTTACCCATTTAGTATTTAGCTAAGGTACTTTAACCACCTACCTACCTGTTTAGCTAGGGTACTTAAACCACCTACCTATATATTAAGCTAAGGTACTTTAACCACCTACCTATATATTTAGCCAAGGTACTTCAACCACCTACCTACCTTTTTAGCTAAGGTACTTTGAATACCTATATATTTAGCTAAGGTACTTTAACCACCCACCTATTTTGTTAAGGTACTTTAACTACCTACCTATTTAGCGAAGGTACTTTAACTACCTACCTATTTAGCTACTTGGTACTTTTACTACCTACCTATTTAAATAGGTACTTTTACCACCTACTTACCCATTTAGTATTTAGCTAAGGTACTTTAACTACCTACCTACATATTTAATATATTTTATCATAACTTTATTAAATGTTTGTTCAGGGAATATTCTCCAATGAGTTCATGAATAAACTTGATTCTGAGATAAAGATGTATGATGACAGTAGATCATATAATGCACAACTAAGGTATTTAATGAGAAATAATAACATTAAAAGCAAATACCCTGACTTAGCCCCGATTTAACGTCTATGCATGTCAAAGCAAAGTATGAGCTAAGACGAGCGAGACTAGATTTTTGTGAAAATCAATCTGAGGTTGAAACCTTTGCGTGAAATATTGTAAATATTGAACAGTTTATGACAATGATGTTTGATCCCTTAATGAAAGATATCCCTGCAGAGTAAGACGTATAAGGGACTTGAAACGTATTTTTATTCAAACCTCTGTTAACAGAGTGCCATATTTGATTCAAAATAGTACCCTTAAACGTAATTTTGAGATCAAGAATAAACGACATATTCATGTTTAATTGTTCCGTCAACATCTGACACTAACTCGAAAAAGTTCTCGCCGTGGATATCAAGATGTCAGACCAAAAAAGAAAGATTGCTTCTATGTAATATCTTAGGGTGATAACTAAATAATTTTAACAAAGAGGGTTAAACACCGAGTCTAGATTAGGTGTTCAATGGAAAACTAGTAGCTCTGACTCAGTGCCGGGAAACCCTAAGAGCTCAATATCTGGCCGTCTGGTCCATGTCCCTGAAAACCTTTGATTTATGCGTAAAAAGTAAATAAAAAATAAAAATTTGTTCTGTGTAGGTCCGATCGAGCTTAAGTAAAGTATTTTCAATTGTGGTTTCTCAATGTGATACAATGTTATGTTGTCACAATTGAACACGAAAAAACACGCAAATATCTCCTTCATTATTGATCAGATGATGACTTAAAGGGTACTGCTGTAAATCTTGTACAGTGAAACCCTATATAACGAATACATCGGAAGAATTTATCAAATGTCGTCTTGACAATTTTTCAATGAGTTTTATAATATATTAAGTAAATTTCAGTATTTGCGAAAATAAATAAATAGCCATGAATATGCGGGAACAGTTTTAAAGAGTTCCATATAATCATTTAATTAAAAAACTAAATATCTGCAACATTCCATTATCAGAAAGTGAAGAATACGACATTTGATGAATTCTTTCGATGTATTCGTT